GGTTGGCTTCTGGGACCCACGGTGCCATTCCCTGCACTGCTGGTTTTTATTTTTGTGAAATTAAATCATTTACAGTTAACCTACACTACGTGAATATTTCAACACCTGAGGAGCAAAGGACTCAAGTCTCTTAAAACCTGCTCTACATCAAGGCGTCTCACTTCCCCATCTTCAAAACGGGAACAAGACCATCCATTTTGTCCACATAGTTTGTCAGAACACACATTCCTCACACAGCAAAACACTCTTCCTCCTGTGCATTTCCAAAGCAGAGCAGGGCTCTCAGCACAATAAATGGTAATATCATTATATTGTTTTATAACAAAAGCAAGACTGGGAACAATAAAAATAGTAAGTAAAAAGCATACTGAGCTAGTCCTACTGCAGACAACCATTTTTGAAATGGTTAACTTGAAAAATGACCTTAGAAAATGGAAATCAAGTGATCCATAACATTTTTTCCCTATTACCCCACCTCAAATCATGAGCATTTCAGCTGTTCTTAAGCTAGAAGTCTACACTTTGTATCCTAAAAGAAAAACCAAAAAGATGAGGGAGAACAGTATGATAAAGATTCATACTCAGGCAGGCAGATAAAATAAGCATCACGGTTTTTAACACTTGAGTTTACCAACGGCAGAACACAGGCTTAAGGTTCATCTGAATTTTCTCTCCAAGTCAACATGGACATCAAAAATACCCAGCAGGCCCTAGCCTCACCTGTGACACTTGGGCAACCCTGTGCTTTTAAAAGGTTTAGGGAAAAAAACAAAACAAAACAAACCCAACCAAAACAAAACACAGCCATTGAAATTAATCTACTGCTTTGTAACACCAATGTTTCATTTGCAAAAATCCATTAAGCATCCATTGAAGAGCTGGAAGCAGAACTGTAGTAACTGCTCACTGCCGACCTACAGCACCCAAAAAGATTTCTGAAGCACTGCAATATAGCAAGAGAGGTAAACCACCTTGAGAATCCTCCTTTCACTTCCCAAGCCAAGTGATCCTGATGCCTTTTGTCCTAAATGACTAAATTCATAGGGAGAAGTGCATAAAATTCCTTTACAAAGCACACTGTAGCTGTGCAGATCTGTTTTATAAAATAAAGAGGTAAATAGGTTCTATATTATAAAAGCAAAAAAAACTTTCCAAGTTTCTCTTTTGTTGTTGTTGGTGGTGGTTTTTTGTGGTGTTTTGGGGGGTTTTTTTGGTGTTTTTTGTTTGGTTTTTTTGTTTCATTTTGTTTTTTACCCCTGTATTCCTGACTGACACTTTTTCCAGAAGTTTCATGAGTATCATGATCTCATGTAACAGAAGAAATACACAATCCTTTATCATTATTACTTCCAAAGAATCATTAAGGCAGGACTCTGGAGAAACAGTCCCCAAAACCAATATTTAAAAAACAGGTGGTGGCAACTTACAGATTTATTTATGGAAGGCCACACTAAGTTACTGAACTTGAAAATATATCCAAAAAGCAAGCATCTGGTTTCCATCTGTCCTCATGGGAACCAGGAAGGAGCTCTAACTGAAAAATAAAATATTGGGGTGCAAAAGAGCAAGATCTCAGGGAGGGAGGGAGGGACACATACAAAGAAAAATTCCCTATTTAATGTCTAAAAAACCAACAAACTATCAAGAAGCTAAAATTGCATGGTACAAAAAAAAGAAAAAATACCCCAGATTTTTAAGCCACATCTGATATGAAAAATCAGCAAATAACACACAAAAATTACTTTATTGCACAATTTAAAAATTATAACCTTCTTAAACTTGTAAGTAAAGCTTTTGAAGGCATTGCTGTAAATATCCCTTCCAACCTCACAGGCAAGCTACTTCTTATCCTTTATTTTATTTCTCTCAATTTTATTTTTTTCACTTGGCCCATAAAGAACAGAGAAAGTCAAGTGAAAACCTGACCAACAGTACAAAAGCATATCAAGTTAAAATATTAATAATAAGGAAGCTGATCAAAGAATTTCCTCTCTCGCCTTTGCCACATAGACTCATTAAGTTTCTTTCGTACCTTTTAAAAGGCAACCTGTCACCATGCCCCAGCCACCATGCAAACTGGGATGCTGGAGCCCATCAACCTCAGATGGCACCCCCTTGGGTTCACTAGCCTAGTAATCCCTAGGGCATACCACTGCTTTTCTACCAACTATCATTTTGATCCTCACAACACACACAAAAAACCTGCTAAAAAGCCAGACCAAGACCCTGTTTCTTTTTCAAATGATTACTGATTATTTCAGTTAGTCCCTCCCTAGCAAACAGCACAGTCAGCCCTGTGTCTGACGTGCTGTGAGGCTGGTGGCATACCCAGCCATTTTTCCCCATATTGCCGTTATCTTCACATGACACTGAAGTCTGCACCACTATATTAATTTCCATATATTCCACATGAACCTGCGTCAAATTATAACTGATCAAGAGTAAAGCAGGCATCCATAGATGTACAGTACTTCTTACAATTTATCATGAATAAAGGTCGCTCAGTGCTACCACCAAAAACATACCAAGCTGAACTTAGAAAAATATATTCTGGTTCCTATGACTGATTTCAAACTGAGTTGTTTCACATCTTTCATAAAACACCAGATGGACACACTCATAGTGCAAAAACCATTAGCTCGAGCCATAATGCTCTTCCAATTTTCTTGGATGTCCAAGTAACACCACTAACCAACCGATCATTGTGTTCCTTTAAAGCAGCAGCAAACTAGGGCAGTTATCTAAGAATTTATATACTCTTTCAAGACTAACCTGAACATTCTTGCATTGTAGTTCCAAAATATCAGTAGTCTGTGTGGAAGTAGATAAAAGCTCAGAGAATTGTAAAAAAACCTAAGATAATTAAAAGCAGTAAACCCAAAATTATATATGTCTTAGATTTTCCTGTCTATGACACCAACTCGTATTTTGGAGGCCAACATTGTTTCACATTGACAGCATCTCATCTAATCTTGCATGTGAACAGTAACAGCTCCAAATACTTTATTTAGTTTGGTTTTGTTTTAGGAGAAGAGGCAGGAACAGAAGAATATAATTATGGAGATCCCTCAATATTAAAATGGCTTATCTTGCCACCCTGTTTGTACTCTCAAGCCGTCCTTCCCACGGGCATTCAGCATCTGCAGTTAGCGTGAGCCAGTCTGACTCCAAGAAGCACTTTCTTCCAGGCTATAAAGAACAAATAAACAACTGAAGCAAATCTCCTGCTAAACAGCAATCAGAGCAAGGAAGTTTTCACAGGCAGAGGAGCCGGGAGGGCACTCTCTATGGCTTTGGTTTTATGGGATCCGGGCAGAATTAGAAACAGCTGAGACCATGGGACTGCAGACCGGTAGAGCCACAAGAGAGGACATCTGTCCCACCCCCAGATGCTGGGACAAAGGCCATTCCTTTGATGTCTGCTAGTCTGATCCTGACTTAGCCTTCAGCTGTCAGGTAGCCGACGCTGGTGAGTCAGATGCTACACTGGGTAGGAAGGGTGAGAACAGGAGGGGACCAAGCTAACTCATGATTAATTTGATTTTCAAACCACTCATCCCTGCACCCAACCAGAAGCAGCCTCAGACAAGTTATTGCCTGACTGAGACACACCTGCTATTCCTTTCCTATATCTGATGTTAACCCTGCCCATCAATTCATGGCAACAGGAGAAAGTGGGCCAAACCCCTACGCTCCCAGCTGCCTGCTGGAGTAACTCAGTGGGCTCCTGGAAAGTGCATTTCTAAACGACCTGCCTGCCTCATTGGGAGACAGAAAAGCAAGTGACACACCAGATACAATGCATGATTCTTCTGATGAGCTGCTATAATACCTCTGTTTCATCAAGAAACTTTTAATGCCAACTTTACAAGTTTCACTCAAGAAGATGCCCTAGGCATGAACCACGCCACAAGACACTCCTTTCCTCTGAGGCTGAGCAAAGGGAATCCCTTATTAATGGGAGCAAAGGGAATCCCTTACCAAGGGGAAGCAAAGGATGAAAGTACAGCAGGACAACAGGAAAAACAAGAAACAACAAGCAGGGCTGAACTGTAGCCTCTTTGAAAAGAGCACACACACAACCGTTCGACTACATGTCACATAAGGTTGGGAACAAGCACCACCACTCTGGAGAGCTGGACATTTGTCAAACCTACAACCATGTCGTCTCTTTTATTATCATACCAATGAACTCTCAGACAGAGGTAGTCCTTTTATTAAGGGCAGGATAATTTGCCAGAAAAAGTAGTAACTGGTGAAGAGATACTGTTATGGGCCTCAAACACTCATCAAGGAACTTTGCAGTGATGAAAGCGGGCAAAAACAGCAATCAACAACTGCTGTTGTTTTCTTTGATAACAAGAAAAGATGGTTTTCATTGTGTGATGGCTTCAGAGGCCAATCCTACTCCAAGATGCTCACTCACATTATTAAGTAAAAATAGCAGTATTCTAATATAGTAGACGCTGCAATTAGCCAAGGGAGGCTGCTACTTTGTGAAACGGTAGCATTGCTTCTGGAAAAATCTCTCTGTGACTCTGAGCTGCAGTATTTTCAGGCACATAACTCAGGGGTTAACTGTTTAAATAAATCCATCATTCTGTTTGCCAGTAAAAACAACAATGTAGGACTTGACCCAAAAAACAAGTGCCCCAGTCAATTAGGGGAGGGGGAGGGAAAAAGAGCCTGGATGAGACCTGTTTTTAATTAAACAAGTGTTAACAAAACTGAAGCTCAAAAGGAAGAGGAACTAGACTTCATTCAATGTAGAGCGAGTGGCAGAAGGTTGGAAAAGGTCTTTGTTGACTCACATAATTAACATCTAATAAGTTTTCTAAAATGCTATAAATCAAGACACATTTCAGGCTACAGCAGCTTATCTTTCGATTGTGGCCATTTAACTCCACACACTCTGCCAAACCACTTATACGTTTTTATCCTCTAAACAACTGTTACGATGATGATTAATTCTCTTTTTTAAAAAGAAAAAGGTATCTTACCTTTGCAGAGTCATGTTCAAATTGCCTGTACATGCCTTGATCTTGTTTTGTGCTTCTAGATGAGTCATCCCATCCGTACTTATCCCATCAATGGTGAGAACCACATCACCTATCCCCACGTGTGCTCGGGCTGCCTTGCCACCGTCATTAAGCTGAAATGACACAAGAATGGTAAATATGAAACTTGGATGGTTGATGTTTATATTCTCTGAACACAGGATCACAGTATCTTACTCACAGTGCTGTTTCATAGAAAAAAAAGGAAAAAAAAAAAGAAGATATCTTTTCTCCTTTGTGAGTACGTCCTTGTGAAAGTTGCTGTACTATCTTTCTTTCTGGTAAAGCAATATTTAGAGGTTCTTGTTCTTATTTCACTTGAATGACAGGAAAAGTATTGCACAGTATTGCCTATTTTTCAAAATCAAACTCCACTTGTACTTTACTGGCTGGAAGCTGTGCACATGCACCAAGAGACGCAAGCAGGGATACACATACAGTTCCCTGGATGCCAAGTTCCAGCCTCTTATCTCTTCATATGTGAAATTTTTCTCACAAGAGGAGAGAAGAAGGCTGTAAACCAGCTTTTTCCATTCTAGATTTTCCATCTAAACAATCTCTTCAAAGTTTATGTATTTGTCAATGACTGGTCACGTGCATGGAAGACTTCATTAATAGTTAAGCGACTTTTCCCCGGCTGCAAGTACTCAAAAGTCAAAAGTTCAACATCACAGACAGACCAGTTACAGGACTTTGTTTTGCCTTTCTCTTGGTAGGTTCATAGCCCCCAGCGACCCGCAGTATATTCAGACCAGAATAAGAAAGGCCTCTTGAGCAGTCTGCCTCTTTGATCAAGGTCACTGCTGAAGTTCAGCTCAATTGCCTTTGGTCCACTTGAATGAAACAGTCTTGCAACAAAAACCTTTGTAAAGTTCACATTATTGACCTCGATTGAACAATAAATTAATCTTTTCATCTGATGCCACTGAATTTCAACTAGCTTCATTCCCAAGAACAGGAACAGAAATAAAGCAACACATGGTAAGATCTATGCACTGATTTATGTCCCTGATCCTCAATCTGCTGATCCCTTTATAGCTGGCTGCAGGGAGCAGTTCTTGACGGTGCAAATTCCCTCTTTGTTTCCAGATGTATTTCCTGTCTTAAATCAGAGAAGTTGTAGCTTCTTGGGCTGTGCATACAAAACCTCATAACTCTTTCCTTTGCCTGAAAGCACGAGTCTGTTCCTTGAAGAAAGTCCTATGTTTTAGGGAGATGCTGCAAACAGCAGAATTACTTCACCTTTATTCCCAAAAGTGGAGTTCCCCTTGGGCCACAGTCATACTCTAATAAGCGACTTCTCAAAGGGAGGCAGAAGGAAGACCTTAATCTCTGTTGTTTTTTAACTGTCTCTGTTTTAGTTCATTCAGTAGGGACCAAGAAGCCTCGGTTCCCTGTGGTTCCTTTTGACAATAACCAACCACAAAGTACAGTCACCAGTCTCCACACCATTCACTTCTCCAACTGTATGAACAGTTGGTAAACCTGTGGGAAGTGTCCCATCAGCCTACCCCATATGGTTACGGCTTTCCTAAAATCTCGGAGACTATAATACATGACAGCTGTGCCATGCGAATTGGACAGCATCTGAAGACAAATACTTTAACAGAGGAAAAAGTATTGCCTAATGCTGCAAGGCAAACGGAAATGCAATACTCCAAAAATGTATAATTTGACAACATACAGACTGAAAGCAGGAAATTTCACATTCAGTGGATCATGGCTGTCATTTTTCAACATCAATCTACGTCCCACATACATCTGCAGTAGCAATCTTTAGCAACTAAAAACCATAGCCAAAAAAATCAAACAAAACCAGAAAAATCCTTCCGTTTGGTGTTAATCCTATGCTACCAAATACATTTTTCTGGTGAAAGGGGAGGCCTAAGATATAGGAAGACTTGTCATCTCTCATATTCATAATAGTGGCCAGTCTCTCAGCATTCTAAGTCAACATAGCCATTTTACGCAGAGTTGAAACCGAAAGGTGCTAACAAGGGAAAGTTAGCTGAGCAAGTTGCATGCAAGGAAGAAAAGTAGAAGACAAGGGAAAAAGGAGATGAACTAATTTCAGAGAAACTTCTTAACTTGCTAAATTCATCTGAATTACAATTTGTATGGTGCATCCTTTTACAAAAGGCTTCAACAATAAAGCCAGAATTCCTCCAAAATTTGGAGTTCATACCCCAATTCTGAGCTAAGAGACCCAGTTACTATAAAAACACAGATCAGGGAACCCTACAAGCATACAGAAAGCTATGACCAACATAGCTATTTATAGGGAAGCTCCTCAAACCTTTGGGTGAGGTTTATCTGCCATAAACAGATCCCTAAACTGATACGTTACGGCATGCTGACATTTGTCAGCAAGGTCTGGAAAAGGGAAAGGAACGTAAGGGTGCTAAAAGCTAAAGGTCAAATGGATCGCTGTGCTTTGTGATTGGACTGCTGAAGTGAATAAAATCTAGCTTTCTCCGAACGTACGCAAATGCACATGATGTTCACTCATCGTAATTCGTGATGAAAAAAAGCAACCTACACACATTCAGCAGTAAGACTTCAAAAGCAGGCTTCAGGATTACTATTCTCATGGGGGGCAGGCATGTGTGTGTGTGTGTGTCTTACCATCCAAAGAAGTATAAAATAAAACAAATTAATTAAAAAAAAAAATCACTTTTGTTTGATTCCAATGGCCAACACACAACCACCCACAGCTAATCACCCAACTTTCAAGCGGTCACTCAAACTGTTGCTTACTGAGGATGAAACTCTTTGTGAATACACATGGGAGACAGCTGTAAAACCATCTCAGCAAAATCCCGGGCGAAAATGCCTGAAAAACATGGCTGGGAAATGCACCCTGGAGACGGGGAAAAAAAGCAAGCAGGTCCCGAGAAACGTGACGAGTCCCTGGCTATGTCCACGAGACCTGTCATGCAGGCAGGAGACTGAATCTGCTTTACAGGTGAGGCTGTCACAGGCACACCTGAATGAACAAGTTACTGGACAAGAGTGTGAAGAACTGCGTGTGCAAAGGGATGCCAGAGCAGTAATCTTACCTAGATACACTGAAGACGACTTCCAAGTAACACCTACTGATTTCGGATAAGAGATCTGACTAACCAAGACAGGCGAGGTTGGTACTTCTAGGAAATCTCAGCCAGAGAACCAGTCTTCCCTGAGAGTACCAGCCAGCACCCTTGGCTTGTCAAGTGCCTATAACGCAGTGGGACTGAAGCTACAAGGGCAGAGTTTTACCACAGATGCAAGAGGAATATCATCACAAGAACAGGTATATAAAAAAACCCAAACATCTACACTGAACACAGCAGGAGGAATTAGAACACTTGAAATAGTTAAGGATCTTTTCCACACTGCAGACATATTTATATCCCAGGAGCCTCAGCTTTGGCACTTCTTAGACTCTGTAAATGTGCATTACCATTACGAACAATAAATTCATATACATACTTGGGATTATATATGCAAAACTGTGTACATATTGAAACCAAAACTGAAAGAAGGGTTCCCCATACTCCTTGTCACAATGGAAACTAACTCCATTTATTTCATTTTTTTTCACCTAGATTTTGAAAAATTCAACAAATGCAGAAGATGTAGGTGCTAATATATAGGAAATTTTGAAGTGGTATTTATAAATCTTTACTACTTATGCATCACTTTTTTTTTTTTTGTCCTGTATGAGTGAACTTGTTCTTAAGTTGCAAATTGAACCTTAGCTTAGTAAAGTTATCTGGCACCAGTCACCGGTGAACTACAGCATTATCTATGCTTAAATACCAAAAGACTAGTAAACTGATGGACAAAAGCAAAAAAAACCACCTAATGCTTAATTCCTAGTAGCAAAAAAGCATATCTTTAAAACATATCTTTGTTAAACATACACATGCAAACAAATGGAATCAATGCAACAAGACATATGCACAGAAGAGTATAGAATTAAAATTATAAAACTGGCTACCTATGAATCAAACTAACTTCTAAGCACCACAAATATTCTTAAAATCCTTGATGGATCTGTTTTAATTCTCTATTTACAGCATGAGACAAGTTTTTAAAATAAAGCGTGAATTCCAGGTACAAAAAGTGGGACTTTTTATGTTAACCAGCAGACTCTAAAGCTCCAAAATTGCCAAACCAGAAATGTTTCCTCCTACTTAGTTCCAGGTCTCTATGTTCTGGGAAGCTCATTTGGAGATAGAGGGGGAGGCAAGCAGGAGAGACAAGCAGGAGAGACATTTCATGCTCAGGCACCTGCTGAGGCCAATCACTCCCGCAGCCCCCAGCAGCAAACCTCTTTTCGGCCCCTCAGCAGCAATCAGCCTCATGGCCAAAAGCCAACCTATGCCATCCAGAGATGCTCAGGACGCTTTCTAATAAACATAATTAAAAGCACCCATCTAATATTAGATTTCAGTTTTGTTAGAAAAAAAGAAAAAAAGAAAAAAAGAAAAAAAGAAAAAAAGAAAAAAAGAAAAAAAGAAAAAAAGAAAAAAAGAAAAAAAGAAAAAAAGAAAAAAAGAAAAAAAGAAAAAAAGAAAAAAAGAAAAAAAGAAAAAAAGAAAAAAAGAAAAAAAGAAAAAAAGAAAAAAAGAAAAAAAGAAAAAAAGAAAAAAAGAAAAAAAGAAAAAAAGAAAAAAAGAAAAAAAGAAAAAAAGAAAAAAAGAAAAAAAGAAAAAAAGAAAAAAAGAAAAAAAGAAAAAAAGAAAAAAAGAAAAAAAGAAAAAAAGAAAAAAAGAAAAAAAGAAAAAAAGAAAAAAAGAAAAAAAGAAAAAAAGAAAAAAAGAAAAAAAGAAAAAAAGAAAAAAAGAAAAAAAGAAAAAAAGAAAAAAAGAAAAAAAGAAAAAAAGAAAAAAAGAAAAAAAGAAAAAAAAAAAAGAAAAAAAAAAGAAAAAAGAAAAAAAAAAAGAAAGAAAAAAGAAAGAAAAAAGAAAGAAAAAAGAAAGAAAAAAGAAAGAAAAAAGAAAGAAAAAACTTTTTGTTGTTCTTGTTGTTTTAAACATTAGAATTCCAAAATGGCAAATACTGTTCTAAAATACGTTCCAAATGGAGATAAAACAAAATTAAACCAGTT